GTAGTGGAATGAAATTGAGGGAATGGATTTCCCACAGGAAAGAAAAATTCTCCTACCAGAAGAAGGAAGGGAAAACATGATGAAAAATCGAGACTGACTATCATGATCAACTACAGACAGATTTCTCAAGCACTAAATATTTGACTAGAGATTGACAATGTCACAATAGACTGAAAGATGGATTAAAAATTAATAAGATATTGTAATTATAACATCATCATTCTTAGCTAATCTGTATTGAACTTTTACTGTGTCTTTGGCACTGTACACAAGCACTTTCCATGCAGCTAATTGCTACGCAATGACCACGTGAAATATTGGTATCCTTGATGTTTATATTTTACAGAAAAAGAAACTGAGGCCGAAACCGGTTTGGCTCAGTGGTAGAGCGCCGGTCTGCGGACTGAAAGGTCCCGGGTTCGATTCTGGTCAAGGGCATGTACGTTGGCTGCGGGCACATCTCTGATGGGGGATGTGCAGGAGGAGGCTGGTCGATGTTTCTCTCTCATCGATGTTTCTGGCTCTCTATCTCTCTCCCTTCCTCTCTGTAAAAAATCAGTAAAATATAAAAAAATAAAAATAAAATAAAATCAATCAAGATATATTTTTTTTAAAAAAAGAAACGAAACTGAGGCTAAGAAAGATTACATAATGTGTTTGCAGTCACCCAGCTATTAAGCTATAGAGTTTAAGCACTTAAAGTTTAAGTTATCTACCAAAAACACACACACAAAAAAACAACAACAAACAAACAAAACAAACAAAAAACAGTTACCTACATTTTTATTGCATGTATAAATAAAGTACAGAACAGGGTATGTATTATAGTGTACTGTCATTTATGTAAAAAGAATAAAGGGAAGGTACATATAAACAAGTTAATACATATGCATTACATTGGTTGCTTCTGGAAAAGAAAATAGGGGGCTGGGGATGGAAGAGAATCTTTTCAAAATTTGATTAGAAAATATCTGGGGAGTTATAATGGATAGAAAATTCAATATGAGCTTTCAAAAGTGACTTGACTCTTAGAATAGTTGGTAATGACTATCATTCGAGATTGCCAGAGTACTATAAGCACACTGCTAGGCATTTGATGTATATTACAGAATTTAATCAGTTAAATCACCCCGGTAAAATAAGGGTTATTTTCTCCACCCATGTAGGTAAATGGGGATGAAGTTCAAATAGGGGATTTATAAATGCCTATTATAGAAAAGATTTCATCTTTGAGTGGTTAGATAATGCTTAAGGTTCTTCTTTGCTATGATTTTGTCCATACATATTCTTTTAGGAACATATACATAGTGTAAAGTGAGATGCTATAGTAAACAGTAAGTGTTTTCCAGGAACCTCAAACAGCTTTGCTGCTTAAGATGCTTTTGTGTTTTGTTTTTTAATTGATTTCAGAGAGGAAGGAGAAGAGAGAGAGAGAGGGAGAGAGAGAGAGGAGACATCAGTGATGAGAAAGATTCATTGATTGGCTGCTTCCTGCATGCCCTCTACTGGGGACTGAGCCTGCAACCTGGGCATATGCCCTTAAACCAGAAGCAAACCCAGACCCTTGAGTCTGAAGGCCAACATTCTATCCATTGAGACAAACCTGCTAGGGCTTAAGATGCTTTCTTTAGATACAATGACCTTTCATTGGAATTAACCCATTGTTTCTTTTCTTTCTTTTTTTTAACCCATTGTTTCTTGTAAAATTCATGAGCCTTATGTGGAAGTTAAACAAAATCAGTGGATATTCCGTGACATAGAACACAAAATCACCTAGGAGACACTTGAGCAATGAAGCCTATCTAAACAGATGGCCATTTCCTTCTTGGTTTCCCAGTGCTATGGTGTCCATAATCAGGAGTTAATCTATACTATAAACAGAGCACTCTTGAAGTTTTATTTTTATACCTTTAGATAACATAGCAAAGACAAGGAACACTTCTGTAGGAAATTATGACTTTTATCTAATTAAAGACCTATTTAAAAATTTCTTTCAGATAATAAATGTTTAATTTCTGAACTAATAAGTTATAATTTCTGCCAGGCCAGCTTCCTTTCTACCTTTTGATTGTGAAGGTGAAGATACCAGACTCATATTTGTGTAGGAGAGAGGAGAGGTCTGAACCAAATATTTCTTCACTACATTTTCTGCCCCTAAAATTCTTGCAGCCTTGGAATTTTTCCTTCTCATGTGAGAAGCAGCTGAAGTCAGTGTATAATTACTTCTTGCAGGGGAGATTAATGGCTCTGGCCTTTCTTTATTGTCCCTAATCCTCATTTCTGTGTCACCTGCCTATCAGCACTCTAATAGGTACTATTTTGACTAATATTTAAAGGTGAATTGAAAACAAGTATCATTAAAAGATAAAGGACAAGAATTGTTGGGAAACTTCAGAGATTTCCATTTTTAAATTCTCTCTTCTCAGGTTTTTGTTTTGTTTTGTTGTTTAATTCCCCGTCTTCTGTGAGCCCCAGAAGATTGTGTTGGCACTTAACATTTCAGAGTGAGAACTGGCTCAGCTTTTATTGTAATCCTAGTTGTTAAGGTATTTAATTACCTTAACATTTTCTATTCCTGTTCCTCATTTTCCCTGCTGGCTTCAATCTCCTTACAATGCCTGCTTTTATATCCCAAGTATATGGAAAAGATGGCAAAATGAGTCCTTTCCTGATTTTTTATTTTCTCCTGGAGAGTGATAAGTGAAGCTATGTTTGTTCCAATGAATAGTAGAATATGAAATCTCATAAAGGCATTTAGGTTATTAGATGAATATTACAGAGCTGCTTATTATGCATTATGGTTTAATGTAGATTATAGATGCAACCAACAGTAATTAGCAGGGCTGGAGCTCTAATTAAACATTATTGTGCTGCGCCATGATTTCGCCTTAGATTTCTGTTGCAAAGTGGAAGGAAACTGAATAGTTCCAGACCCATAGATGGATTTCTTCACTTCTCCCCACCTCCCTCTGGTTAGGATAAATAAAGTCATCCTACACAGAAATCCTAAACTCTACTTAGTAACTTTGACCAGTAAGGTAGTTGGTTGCGTATACATGTTAATCAGCTCTTCATGTATATTAGTTCTTAGTGATCAGTTCCACTGTTTCTTCTCTTTAGGGTGTATAGCAGGGTTTAATTTGACAAAGTGCTTGAATGCAACATTGGTGATTCCTACTTATAGCTTATGTGTTGTTTTCTGGATCTATCAGTAGGGAATTTAGGAGCTTGGCTTTATCTAGAATCTTAGCTTATCTTCTTTCTGGACTCCAGTATCACCAAATAACAGGAAATGAAACCACTTCCAGAAAAGAGCTGTCCTTGATGGCTGAGATAACGTGTAGGTGACTGACTCCCTGGGGACCTGCCTCCCTTTGTACTTGGGATTGCTGTTTCAGCTGTGGAACCGATTGGCAACAGGACATGCTCTAGTGAGGCAATCAGAAAATTCACAGGAGTGACCTAGAAGGGTTAGGTCAATTTCTTTGTCCCAGGAAGAGGACCTTGTAGGAATTTCTCTTGCTAGAAGAATGATATAGAAAAGGGAACAAATTCTAAGCAAAAGAAATTCATATCCTGACTGTGAAATTGCTTCTGTCTCAGTTCTTCCCCAAAAGATAGAACAGAGGTAAGTCCAAAAGTAAAGATGATCTGTATATTCTGTCTCTAATTTCCCATTTCTAATACCTAACTCTCCAGGAATCTTTCTTTGCGAAGAGTTATGAGTCACCTTGGAGCATTCCTGAAAGGGCTTAATGACCAGAGCCAGATTTCAGTACCATCCAGGAGTAATGGGGAGTCTAGTTTACTTTTTCTGTGTTATTTCTACCTTCAAGTCTGTGCATGGAGATGTTAAAGGGTCTTTTAAGGATGTATCACATCCCAAGAAGGTTACCAAATTAAATTATAAATACCTGGTTTTTAAGACTGCAAAACAGCAAAATGCCTTTTGGCATTTACCATCATACAGAAGATTCATTATACAGATTTTCACTTTGATTTCATTTTATGGTGGAATTAGGGAAGTACAGGATGGGTGTATGTAACAACAAGCAGATAAGGATAATGTTTTGGCAACTTTTCAGGGACCAGTATTAATCTGAATCATTGTTTTAAACCCCTAACCCAGTGGCTAAGTTGATTAGAGCATCATTCTGATATGCCAGTGTTGCATGTTCAATCCTCGGTCGGGCACATACAAGAAGCAACCAATGTATGCAAAAATAAGTGGGACAATATCAATGTCTCTCTCTCTCTCTCTCTCTCTCTCTCTCTCTCTCTCTCTCTCTCTCTCTCTCTCTCTCTCTCTCTCTCGGACCCCTTGATGGGTGTCTGATTGCCTGTTCGAGCCTAAATGGGCAGTCGGACATCCCTCTCACAATCCAGGACTGCTGGCTCCCAACTGCTCACCTGCCTGCCTGCCCCTAACCGCTTCTGCCTGCCAGCCTGATCACCCCCTAAGCACTTCCCCGCCAGCATGAACAATACGTAACTGCTCCCCTGCCAGCCCAATTACCCCTAACTGCCCTCCCCTGCTGGCCTAGTCACCCCTAACTCTCCTCCCTGCTGACTGCCCTCTCCTGCTGTCCTGGTCACCCCCAACTGCTCTCCCCTGCTAGCCTAGTCTCTCCCAACTACCCTCCCCTGCTGGCCTGCTGGCCTGATCGCCCACAACTGCCCTCCCTTGCAGGCCTGGTTCCTCCCAACTGCCCTCCTCTGCTGGTTATCTTGTGGTGGCCATCTTATGTGTTGGAGTGATAGCCAATTTGCATATTACTCATATAGGAGGATAGAGCTTCTTCTAGCTCCGGGCACACCAATCTAAACTGCTAGCTTTGTAGTGGTATCATGAGTAAAACTTGAAAGGAAAAACCAAAGTCTTATATTCAGTCTTTCTGCACTCTGGCAGGAAAAGATGTTGGACTAGATTAAATACAAGGAAGGTATTTCCTCTAAAAGTTCTTCCTGCAACTCAGCTGCTGCTTTTTCCTCCCCCACAGATGGAGTCCGCTGCCTCCACACCGGCAGTGCTGCCGCTGCATCTCTTGGTGCCGGTGGTCAGTGATGACATCTCATCTCCCTGTGAGCAGATCATGGTTCGTACCCGGTCCGTTGGGGTCAACACATGTGATGTGGCTTTAGCCACCGAGCCTGAGTGCCTGGGTCCCTGTGAACCTGGAACAAGTGTCAACCTCGAGGGCATCGTGTGGCAAGAAACAGAAGATGGTAAGCGCTACCTGTGGCTTCCCCATCCCTTCTCCACCTGCTTCTGCCAGCAGTTTTATTTTTGTAAATTCACACCAAGTATTTATTAGGAATCTCAAATGACCATAGTCTGCTGGTGATACTTAACCCAGAAGATTACAGTAAACTTCTTAGTATAATCTCCCAGCTTCTAGGGATTGGCAGTTTTAATTATCTCCCCCTTGTAGCTGTTCAACAGTGTTGGCCCTGATATATAAGCAGTCAGTTTGATAGGTGCTAGCTAGGTAATTCAAATTGTGTCTATACTCTCCATACTCCTATCATTTTATATGGGAGAATTCAAATAAATGAACTTTTGGGTCAGGCTTGAAGAGATAAAGTAATAAAAGGGCAGCTGTGAGAGTCAAGGAAATGGAAAACTCTTAAATTGACTTAGTGTTGGCTCATTGAATGTGCAACTCTTGCCTTTTTTAACACCTGGAGGTGCAGCCAGCTTCTTCGTACTGTTGCCTCATTGCCCAACCATCCACACTGCTTCGTGCATCTGTCTGTACAGATTTTATAGGCCTAGGCAACAGGGAAATGTTTACATGGTCTTGTTTTCAGGTATCCACTAAGCAGTTGGCTCACTGTAGGGTGCTGCTCCCCAAGGCTACTCTTCAGATTTCTTATATATTCCACCGGCCCTTGAGAATAAAATCTCTTCTGTTTTAAAAGTTTATCAACCTAAAAAAATAGGAGTGCAAAGAGATTTACCAGGTATTTAAGATCCCTTTGTGCCATCTGTGGCAATTTGATTTCAGCAAATACATTATTTTTATTTAAAAAGCCAAGTCCTTGTCAAAATATGTGTGGTTAGAAAGGCTGGGCCTCAGAGTCCCCTCGGGTCTCTGCATCAGTAACCAGACTCTCAAACGTCCCCACTCTGAGGAATTGAGAAGCCCAGAGGAGCACAGCTCATTATCTCTGATTATTCATAAGCTGTCTTGTCAAGCTGCCTGTGGAAATTCAGGCATTTCATTCTGGCCATCCTGATAAAAGTCTGTTCCTCTGAATATGTTGTTATGGTCCAGTATTTATTTAAAGTCTATTGTTCAGTCGGCAATGATGATACAGGTTAAGAATTTTATATTCTTGCTGAAACCGGTTTGGCTCAGTGGATAGAGAGAACGTCAGCCTGCGGACTGAAAGGTCCCAGGTTCTATTCTGGTCAAGGGCATGTACCTTGGTTGCGGGCACATCCCCAGTAGGGGGTGTACAAGAGGCAGCTGATCGATGATTCTTTCTCATCAATGTTTCTAACTCTCTATCCCTCTCTCTTCCTCTCTGTAAAAAATCAATAAAAAAAATTTTTTTAAAGAATTTTATGTTCTTGGCTCTCTCATCATTAGTTATATAGTAAAGCACCAGCTTTTAGAATACAATTGCTGATGAGTTTTTATTGTGTTCCTAAGACAAGAACGGAAAAAAACACACACACTATTGTGTTAGAAACTGATACCGAGACAGTAGAGAGCTTGACCTTAGAGATTGACTTTGGATGTGTATATATTGATATACAGTCTGGAAATCACAAGTGGCTAATCTCTGATTTTTAAAATGTCATCTGCCTGTGGTCAAACGACTCACAGCCACAGTGTCTGTTGGAATGACAGCATATTCAGACCACAGCTCTGTGCCATCAAGCAACCTTCAGAGACTGTTTCCTCAATATATTAAAGATGGAAGACATCAATTTCCTGCCCATTATTCTACCCATCTTTATGACGGTGACTTTTCTCCAAGGGCAAGATGTTTTCTGTGTATGTGAACTTGATGAAAATTTTGCAAGAGAGTGAGGCTCACCTTTTACTCTCCTGAGATAGTGGATACCTTTTTATCTGAGGATCCCTGTTCTCCCTCCTTGCCAGGGGGGTGTTAGCATGAATTTTTTTAAAATTATTTACTTTGAAAAGCTCTTTGGTTGTTACTTGTAGCATATTACCAGGTTCCCTTGTTATACACTGTTTGTTTGTTTATTTGTTTGTTTGTTTGTTAATCCTCACCAGAGGATATTTTTCCATTGATTTTTAAAGAGAGTGGAAGGGAAAGGAAGAGACAGAGAGAAACATTGATATAAAAGAGACACATTAATTGGTTGTCTCCTGCACGTACCCCGACCAGGGCCAGGGAACCTGCAACCAAGGTATGCGCCCTTGACTGGAATCTAATCCAAGACCCTTCAGCCCGCAGACTGACGCTCTATCCACTGAGCAAAACCGGCTAAGGCTGTTACACACTCTTAATGCACTCTGCACTGTTATTTCACAGCATTCATCACAATTTGCAATGATGCTCCTTGACTTACAATGGATTTACATCCTGATAAACCCATCATAAGTTGAAAATATCATAAATGGAAAATGCATTTAATACTTACTTTATTAAATATCATAGTTTAGCCAAGCCTACCTTAAACATGCTCAAAACATGTCATTAGCCTTTAGTTGGGCAAAATCATCTCAGTGCTGCTGCCCGGCATTACAAGAGTATTACACAGCATATCACTAGCCTGAGAAAAGATCAAAATTCAAAGTACTGTTTCTACTGAATGCATATGGCTTTTGAACTCATAAAGCTGAGAAATCTTAAGTGAGACCATTGTTAATCGGGAACCATCTGTAATATTATTTTTTATAAAAGTGTATTACTTCTACTATTTTAGAAGTTCAGTGAGCTCAGGAACTCTGTTTTGCTCACCATTGTATCCCCAACACTTAATAACTGACCCCTGTAGTTGGCCTTCAAAAATATATATTCGAATGAATCTTGCATCTATGTCGTTGTCATTTCTGGAACTAAGTTAATGTACATCTGATAGATACTTTAATGTTGTTTGAACTTAGAAGCCATGTCAAATACTTTCCAAAATTCTCCTTCTCTAAAACTTAGAATAATAATATTTGTACCAGGTTTGAGATCACTATTATTTAATTATATTTTTAAGGTTTTTAGTGCTCCTATTTTTTAAAAATATATTTTATTGATTTTACACAGAGAGGAATTGAGAGGGATAGAGAGTTAGAAATGTCGATGAGAGAGATACATCGACCAGCTGCCTCCTGCACACCCCCCACTGGGGATGTGCCAGCAACCAAGGTACGTGCTCTTGACCGGAATCGAAACTGGGACCTTTCAGTCCGCAGGCCGACGCTCTATCCACTGAGCCAAACTGGTTTCGGCAGTGCTCCTATTTTAATATCATATTTTTTCCCCACTTACCATTGTGTTTCAGGTTTTAGTACTTTTCTTCTTTCTTTTTTTTCATGCCAAGAGAACTATTTTGCAATTATATACTCTACTTTGCTTTTCGGCCATTTCAGGGGGCATTCACCTGAGCTATCAGTTGGCAGAAGTCTGAATTGGGATCAGTTAGTTTACATTCCTTTTCATTTTAAGGTAACAGAGATATCCTGCAAAGATCATTCTCTGCAGATTTAGACAATCTAACTAATCTACTGAGTCAGTCCTCAAGTTAATAATAAGAACTATATACAGATACTTTAAAAAAAAATTATTCCAGCCTATTGAGCTTTTTTTTTGCTACCTGACTTTGTACTTCTGTCTCTTTGCCCAGGGAAGCTGTGAAGGCTTCACCTGTGAGGTCCCTGTTGCACTGAGCAATCTTGCTGATAACATCTATAGGGATCGAGGCCTCAATTCTTCCTGTTTCTTTGCTTATCTGTACTACAGTGTTGCTTCTTTTTTCCCTACCTCTCCTTGTAAACCTTGCCTTGGAGGCATTTTGAAATTCCTGCAGATCCCATCTCTTTTTAGGCTGCTGGGAATTCAGCCAGCACTACCAAGATCCTCGACTAGGCTCAACCTTAGGACTATTTTAAGAAGACCCACTGGAATGATTTCCCTGGCTTTTTGAGACTTATTCTTAGCACTTATGCAAAGGTCTGATTCCATCCGATTTCTCTTTGTCCCACTGCACTTCGAGTCAAAATAATAGATCCCAAGTCTATTTTTGGTTCACAAGGTCCTGAAAACAGTGTATAAGAAGTCTTAAGGCAGACCACATATTTTCCTGAGGCAAAATTGCTTACTAGCTTCTATGGTATTTAAAGAAGCACGGCTGACTTTAAAAAAATATATATTTTATTGATTTTTTACAGAGAGGAAGAGAGAGGGATAGAAACATCAATGAGAGAGAACCATCGATCAGTTGCCTCTTGTACACCCTCTACTGGGGATGTGCCCGCAACTAAGGTACATGCCCTTGACCGGAATCCAACCCGGGACCTTTCAGTCCATAGGCCGACGCTCTATCCATTGAGCCAAACCGGTTTCGGCAAAACATGCTGTTATTTTTCTTTTCTTTTTTTTTTTTTTTTTTTTTTAAATCAATCTTTATTGTTCATATTATTACAAAGGTTCCTCATTTCTTCCCCCCTCCACCAGTTTCCCCCCCCACCCTCCGTCCCCCCCCCATCCCCCATTGTCCTCATCCATAGGTGCAGTTTATGTTCAGTCTCTTCTTCCCTCAATTTCCCCAATAGTAAATCCCTTTTCAGATAGTAAATCAGTTACTTAGCATTTTCTCATATCAATAATACCTCCACATGCCCAATGATACACTTCACACAAAAGACATTTCCCACTAGGTCAACCAGCCTCATCCAGGCCCCACCCAAGGCACTCACAGATCAACACCCCAGTCCTAAACTAACTCAACACATCCAGATCTAAGCCTTCATCACTTGATTCAGCAGAACCCTCAAGTTCCCACGAAAGTTTCCAGCCATGTCTGAGAAGCAGCCGTGGGGCAGGGGCAGGCAAGGAGCGAGCTGTTCTGGGCCTGGCTGCTCAGGGCCTGGCCTCTGTTGCTCTGGTTCATTCCACAACCAGCTGCTCCGGGTCTGGTCACTGCCGCTCCCGACCTAGTTGCTCTGGACTTGGCTGCTGCTGCTCCGGGCCTGGCCGCTCCCAGCCTGGCAGCCGCTGCTCCGGGCCTGGCCGCACCCGACCCGCCTGCT